TATATATATACTCTGTCATCCCTGTTACTGTCCACTGTGTTGTTGGAGCCCCCAGCTGTTCCCCCGTGCTTGTCCATCCGCTGAATCTAGTCAGCCTATCTAGAGTTCCTTGTTTTAGGCAGATCAGCCCTTCTTCATCTAGTGCCAATCAGTTGCCAGTATTCCTTTAGATAAGATTGGGGTCTGCTGTTCATTTTCACAGTTCTGTGCTGGGTTACTGTATGGGAGTCTCTTGGGCCACCCTGGCCAACAACTCAAAGGAAGGTATCCCCTGTCTGGCATTGTTTCTTGTTATATAGCCTTTAGCTATACACATGGACTCTTAAAGAATTATACTTATTCCTTTGATTTTTGGTTATACTTTACTTTTAGGTGTTTGAGACCATATAGTGGGCCCAGATAAACCAATTTATTTCTACTCTTAAGGTCGTTTGGGGATCTGTTCCTCAGGGTTCACTTGGGCTTGGGAGGAGCCCCTGGTTCCTTTTTTTTTACCAGTTCCATCTACGTGAGGATAAGTCAAAGGTCCTGCTTGACCATGGTTGGCTTCACTTGGAAGCCTGGAGGAGATGTTTCCTCTGTGTTGACCCTCCTCTTTGTAGACTGGACAGTGTTTCAAGTCCATTTGATGGGGTCTCCACGGCCTCCTTGATCAAGAGGATAGGTGACTCACCACAGTTACAGGACATTTTGAAAGGTGCTCATAGTCCCCTGGAACTTAGTCGACCTAGGAGGGCAAGGAACAGAAACTGTCCTTTATGTCCCTCTGACCAAATTAGTATAGGCCTCAAAGTATGGCTGTTAAACATCCAAGAAAATTAGTTCCACAAATCTGGTACTTTTAATTACCATACCATGTAGATAAAGCTTAGGCAAAGACCAAACGTTCTCAGATAAACCTTGCCTAGACATATATATTCTTTGAGCTAGTTGTATGTATAATTTGTCAGTAGGTTGTTCGATTAATATGGTTCCCTGTTTTTGTTTTTTTTTTAACTAGCTAGGCATTATTTATCTTTTGCATTGTCTAACCCTTCCATGATGGTTTCCCCATTTAAAGTGCCCCGATTTTTCCTGTTTCTCCCTTAATAATACCCTTCTCCTATGGTCCCACCTCCCTTGAGCTCCTTCTTTCCCCTTATCCCCAAGGTTCCTTGTATAACTCTCCCTCCCCCCTCTACTTAAAATACCCCCCTTTTTTGTTTAATAATATTTTATTGAATCTTTGGGAATTTCATACAACATATATTTTTAACATACATAAACTCCTCCACCCCATCTCCACATCTACATTTCAACCCATCACCCTGACTTTATGTCCTCTATTATTGTTTTTAAGGGCCTAACAAGTCTAATTTGTGATCTCCAAATGCTCCTGGGTGTGAGTCCATCCCCTGGATTCTGGTCAACCTACCTAGTTTCACACTTTTTTAAAAAATTATTTTTATTTACTATTTTCATTTTATGTGTATGAGTGTATTGGCTGCATGTATGTGAGTGCACCCGTGTCGTGCAATGGCGTGGAGATCAGAAGAAGGTGTCAGATTCCCCTGGAACTGGAGTTAAGGATGGTTCATAGCTGCCATGTGGGTGCTGGGAATCGAACCTGGGTCCTCTGCAAGAGCAGTCAGTGCTCTTAACCACTGAGCCACCTCTCCAGCACCTAGCTTCACACTTTTAAAAAAGACTGATTCTCCCTTTCCCAGCAGCTATCAATTGAAAATAACCTCATTTTTATCCATATCTCCCTTATTAACACCTGTTTCCTACTGTTCTTCTCTTTCAGATTCTTTCTTTTCCTTTATCTCCCTGTTTCCTTTCCATTATCCTGGTTCCTGTAGTTATGTCTGGATACATA